AACTTTTCTGACAGACAGTATTTACAGCAAAATAGTCTTTTACCTTTGAGGATATTTCATATCAGTATGTAAGAATTTTACTGTTTCCCTTTGTGTAAGATTTTTCCTCCTAATATAGTCCATTTCCTTTCTCCTTTTATAAACAGATTTCATTACAAATGAGGGTAAATATCCAATACTGTTTCTGTAATTGTTTCCATTCAAACATATATGCCTAGGGGATGAATTTGGGAGTTTGAGTTAAAAAAGAACTTACTAGGCTTTCAAATTGTTCTTACTATTTCATATAATTCCAGGAAGATATTGTGAGAACTTTGTCTTTTGTGACTACAAGAGTCATTATGTCTTTATTTACAACTCCACCTTTTGCCATTAGTGATTAAGGAAAAGGGATAAATCTGCAGAGTCTAACCCCTGAGGCAATTTGGTGGGATGACAGAAATACCAAGGCATTAGTAAGGGCCTGTCTATGGGAGAGGCCAGTAGTGTTCTTAGTGCCTAAGGGCCCTTCTTTGGTAGTGAAGTGTGTTCTTTGTGGAGGGGTTGTGGGAACAAATCATGTAAGATGCCATTTTCTCTGGGCAGCTTACATAAAGTGGCTGTTGTTCACTACCCATGTTCCATCTAGAACAGAATATTGCATAACGATTCAAAGAAGAGTGAAAAAAAAGACTCAAAGTTTGTTTCTTTTCCTCAACTGCTGAACAGCTGGGAGTAATATTATTTCTCAGGGAGACCACAGAAAATCTCAGTTTGTGCAAGCTCCCAACAAAACATCTACCTTAGGCAATGCTTTCATGCAAAATCAAGCCAACATTAAAGTTGATGTGTGCCTCGAATTAAGTGGGGTTTTGTCTCCCTTTTGTTATAATCAGACAAAGCCATTTTTTTATAAAAATAAATATAGATTTATTTGGGTTCAATCGATTTAGGGTGGGAAGCAATAGGCAAAGCAGCGCTGGGTGCATGGAGAGCCACAACTCTGCCACATGCACCCCGAGTTCCAAATCCAGCATTTTTTATACTCTTGTGCCATTGTGCTATCCTCCCGTCAGATGATTGTCCTGCTCTTTTCCATTGGGTCATTTGGGTTGCTGGGGTGCGTGTCCTCCTCCTATTGGGTCTTTCAAAAGTCTCGAAGCCTTGGTCTCTTGGCGCACTTTTCTCCTATTGGATCTTTTAAAAGCCTCATGATCTCATCCTTTTGGCAGGCTTTTCTTCAAACAGCAGTTACATGTCAGCTCCAGGTGGGGTTTCTGAGACAGGGTTACACTGTTTCAATCCGAATGGCACACTTTACATTTTTATTCTTTAACATTTACAGATCATTCAAGTGTATCGTACCCACCCTGCCCAACCTAACAAATTAGTTACAATAGTTTATTACAGCACCTGCCTTGCTTAACTTAGCAAATTAGTTACAATAATTTATTACACTTTGATGGTCAGAGCCACATAAGCAACACATAGGGAGTTTTTAACTTTATTAGAGTGGTAGAACAAGAGGATTTATTGTGCTTTGGAAAATAAAATTTGTTCTGAAAGACTATGAGAGGTCTTCAGACTGTTTTATAGACAGATGCCAAATCCCTTTAATTTTGACATTTTTCAGCATCAGCCACATTGCCTTTCTGGGTAGCTGTTATTTGTTAAAGATTCTTGCTAGAAGTCACCCCAGAAGCTAGTGCTTGATTTTTATTTATATTCTGGACTTAATCCAGAATATAAATCTCTGTTCCTCAGAGAATACTTGAGGAAAATTTAGGGGTCTTAATATATTATATGATATGTTATAGTTAACTATAACCTAAGTAAGTAAACATTGTTGTTTTATAACAACTTTATTACTGGAGATAAGACTGATTTATTCTAGGAGTTCAAAAACAAGCAAACAAACTAAAAAATGCATATTATTTTTCTGGATCTCAGACTATCAAGAAAACAGCTGCATACTGCAGGAAGAACAGTATCCCATTTCCCAAGATAGAGGATCAGGAAATGGATGAGAACAACCCTTCTGATTGCTATGTCTTCCGAGGAGACAAGTCATGCCCTACAGTCATGCACTTTCCACTCTTCAACACCGTGAATTGTTCTGGTAACACATACTCTATGCAACTTTGTGTATTTGCATTTCATATTCTCAACTCCCAGTGCCATGCATTTGAGAGTCTTTCTTTACTCAGCACTGCTGATGTAAATGGGCACAGAAGAAAAAGCACAGGGCAGGCTCTGTGTATAATGGATAGAAGCTTGCACACATATTAACATACTTACCCTCTCAGATGTATGTCCTGAGCTGTAAAGATTTTACACTCTTAGTCTGTTCTGTGAATCGGTGTAATTAAATGTAATCTTATTAAAAAGAAGTTGGGGAGGCATCACATTTAGAATCCCGAATATTACCAAGTCTGGGATATTTACCACTGATTTCTTTTATACTTACTGGCGAGGAACAGGCAGGTCCAGAGAGATTTGTCTCCCTCTCTCAGACAGCTGATGAAACGGGTGATAAAACAGGCACCTCCAGACTCTGAGTGACCTCCTCTCTCTCCACTAGGGGCAGCAGGATCTTAGTCTGATAAAAAACTTCTATGTGAAACTTACAGATCATCAGGGATTAATGTTTTTCTCAAGTCTATGTTTTTCTTGAATGATCTTGTAGTTTTCTGTCTGGCATTTACTTACATGTTTTGTGTATCTTTTTTCTAGATAAAATAGAAGAATACAAAAAAAGGTTTCCCACCTTTCACATGTCATTCCCAGAGGGAGACATCAAAGATCTCCTTGAGAAAGCAAGGTTGAATGTATCCAACAATAGTGGGAAAATTCTGGATGAGATAAAATGGCTTGTGTCTTCCTTTCATACCAAGGATTTCTGAATGTGAGGGGTTTTTTTGTTGTTGTTGTTTTTGTTTTTGTTTTTGTTTTTTTCTTTTTTTTTTTTTTTTTCCTTCAGTACAAGCAATGAGTTTATGAATTGCTATAAATGTTATACTTTATCCCACTGCACTTTTCGTTTTGGCCATTTGGTGTTGGTCTTCATGGTGTGCTCTGGAAAAATGTAATGTAGATTTTTCTATCTCAGCTACCTCTCTAAGTTCCTCTATAGTTAAAAGAACCAAAAAGATGCTCTTAGAGAGTGAATCACTTGGCAGATTTTAAACATATTTGTGAGAATAAGATGGCCTGAGTTTCTGAAGGGCTGAAGAGGCTTCCTTTAAAATTAGCTGAGATGGAGGCACTGCTGTTTGTAAAGAAATTATAAAAATAACAAAAAAAATCTAAAAATAATGAAGAGAAAGAATAAGGGCTGAAGAAGAAAGAGAGAGTCCACAGAAGAATAGCTAAGCAGGCAGCTTGACAGATGATAAAGAATTAGATAAGTACTGAATAAACACATTAAAAGGGAAATAAAGAACTGCTATAATTTTTGCTTTTGGCAATGAAAGACAAATAATGGAGGAACCATGAAATGAGATGAAGAAAAATCTCATGTTCAGAGGCTTACAAAGAATGCTGGTAAGCTGGACTGTCTCTGCGCAAGGGGAGTGTATGTATGTATGAACTAAATGTGAGCTAATGCTGGGCTCTGGCTTGCTCAAGATACTGACTTTTCCAAATTCTTTCCTTTTTCCTGTATTTCTTGTTTCTACATTTTTTCTATGTATCATATTTAATAAACAATTATGTTTAAATATATGAGCTATAACTTGTTCCTAATGGCAGCCATATTTGGGGTTGACCTACAGTGTACTGCAAAATCCCAGTCAAAGAACATGTCTTTAAATAACCAGGCACTGAACAAGTATCTCTGTTTTTTTTTGGTTTTTGTTTTTTTGGGTTTTTTTTTTTTTTCATAAAAAAACAAAACAAAAACCAATCTGCTCTGAGGTAGCCTGGAAATCTTTAAATTACCGGTGTTTTCTTGTATTCAGACTGAATAAAATCCCAAAAGATTCACAGATTCACAGAATCATCTCAGTTGAAAAAGACCTTGAAGAACATCCAGTCCAACCATTAACCTCACACTGTCAGTTCTCAACTCCACCAGATCCCTCAGTGCTGGATCAACTCGACACTTAAAGCCCTCCAGGGATGGGGAATCCCCCCTTCCCCCGGGCAGCCCATTCCAAGGCCCAACAGCCCCTTCTGCACAGAAATCCTTCCTCAGAGCCAGCCTGACCCTGCCCTGGGCAGCTTGAGGCCATTCCCTCGGGGCCTGGCGCTGGGGCCTTGGCTCCAGAGACTCATCCCCCCTCTCTGCACCCTCCTGGCAGGGAGTTGCAGAGGGCCAGGAGGTCTCCCCTCAGCCTCCTCTTCTCCAGACTGAACCCCCCCAGTTCCCCCAGCCGCTCCCCAGCAGACCTGTGCTCCAGACCCTGCCCCAGCTCCGTTGCCCTTCTCTGGCCACGCTTGAGTCACTCAATGGCCTTTTTGGGGTGAGTGGCCCAAAACTGAACCCACTCATCGAGGGGCGGCCTCACCAGTGCCGAGCCCAGGGCTCAGATCCCTTCCCTGTCCCTGCTGGCCATGCCAGTGCTGACACAAGCCAGTATGCCATTGGCCTTCTTGGCCACCTGGGCACACTGCTGGCTCCTGTGCAGCCAGCTGTCAATCACCCCCCAGGTCCCTCTCTGACTGGCAGCTCTCCATCCACTCCTCCCCAAGCCTGTAGCCCTGCTGGGGGTTGTTGTGGCCCAAGGGCAGCCCCCGGCATTTGCCCTCAGTGAAACTCCCCCAGTTGGGCTCAGCCCATCACTCCAGCCTGTCCAGGTCTCTCTGCAGCCTCCCTGCCCTCAAGCAGATCAACACTCCCGCCCAACTGGGTGTCATCTGCAAACTGACTGAGGGTGCCCTCGATCCCCTTGTCTAGATCATCAATAAAGATGTTAAACAGGAGTGGTCCCAAAACCCAGCCCCGGGGGACACCACTCGTGACCGACCGCCAGCTGGATTTAACTCCCTTCACAACTCTCTGGGCCCAGCCACCCAGACAGATTTTTACCCAGCAAAGCGTGTGCCCATCCAAGCCATGAGCAGCCAGTTTTGCCAGGAGAATGCTGTGGGAAATGGCATCAAAGGCCTCACTAAAGTCAAGGTAAACAACATCCACAGCCTTTCCCTCATCCATCAAGCAGGTCACCCTGTCGTAGAGGCAGATCAGGTTTGTCAAGCAGGACCTACCTTTCACAATCCCGCTGACTGGGCCTGATCATCCGGTTGTCCCGCAGATGTTGTACGATGGTACTCAGGATGAGCTGCTCCATCAGCTTCCCGGGCACCGAAGTCAAGCTGACAGGCCTGTAATTTCCCAGATCATCCTTCCAACCCTTCTTGCTGATGAGCGTCACATTGGCCAATTTCCAATCAGTCGGGACCTCCCCGGTCAGCCAGGACTGCTAGGAAATGATGGAAAGCGGCTTGGCAAGCACCCAGCCAGCTCCTTCAGCACCCTCAGGTGTATCCCATCCGGTCCCATAGACTTGTGCGTGTCTGTGTGATGCAGCAGGTCACTGACTGACTCCTCCTGGATTGCAGGGGGGGTCGTTCTCCCAGTCTCTGTCTTCTGGCTGTGGAGGCTGGATTCCCTCAGTACAACTGGTCTTGTTATTAAAGACTGAGGCAAAGAAATCATTAAGGAACTCAGCCTTCTCCTCAGTACTTGTTACCATGTTTCCTCTTGCATTTAGAAGGGGATGGAGACTCTCCCTGGTCTTTCTTTTGCTGCTGACATACTTAGAGAAACATTTCTTTTTGTCTTTGATTGCTGAAGCCAGATTAATTTCTAGCTGGTCTTTAGTCCTTCTGATTTCCACCCTGCACAGCCTCACAGCCTCTCTGTAATCACTGTGTGTGGCTAGCCCCTTCTTCCAAAGGCTGTAAATTCTCCTTTTCTCCCTGAGTTGCAGCCAAAGCTCCCTGTTCACCCAGGGTGGTCTTCTCTGGTGTCGGCTTCTCTTAGATCACCTGGGGACTGCCGGCTCCTGAGCCATTAACAATTCCTTCTTACAGAGTGCCCAGCCTTCCTGGACCCCTGTACCCTTCAGGAGAGTCTCCCAGGGATCCTGTCAAGTAGGTGCCCAAACAAGTCAAAGTCAGCCGTTTGGAAGTCCAGGATATCAGTTCTGGTGCCCCCTCTCCTGGCCTCTCTAAGAACAGAGAACTACTATTTCATGATTGGTGTGACTAAATTGGCCTCTAACTGCCACATCCTCCACCAGCCCTTCTCTGTTCACAAAGAGGAGATCCAGCAGGGCATTTTCTCTGATTGGTTCACTCACCAGCTGCATCAGGAAGTTGTCTCCCACACATTCCAGGAATCTCCGGGACAGGTCCTGCTCTGCTGTGTTGTATTTCCAGCAGATGTCTGGGAAGTTGAAGTCCCCCACAAGAAGAAGGGCAAGAGATCATGAGATTTCTCCTAAGTGCCTATAGAATATTGCATCCACATCTCTGTCCTGGGCAGGTGGCCTGTAGTAGACTCCTACTACAACATCTGCCCTGTTGGCCTTCCCCATGATTCTAACGCAACGACACTCCACCCTGTCTTCACTACACTTGTACTCAAAGCAATCCTAACAGTCCCTGACATACAGCACCACCCCAACGCCTCTCCTTCCCTGTCTGTCCCTCCTAAAGAGCCTGTAGCCATCAGCTGGTGCACTCCGGTCATGGGAGACATCCAACCATGTTTCTGTAGTAGCAACAACATCATAATCTTCCTGTTTCATCAGGGCTTCAGGCTCCTCCTGTTGGTTACCCATGCTGTGTCTAGTAGTATCCACGCACTTCATATGGCCAATGTTTTGCTCCCTTCCCCCTTCAAATCTAGTTTAAAGCTCTATCAATGAGCCCAGGTAACTCCTGCCCCAAGATCCTTTCCCCCTCTAGGACAGGTGCATCCTATCTGAGGCCAAAGGTTCTAGCGTGCTGTACCCACGATTGAAAAATTCAAAGCCCTGATGGTACCAACAGTCTTGGTCCCACAGATTCATCTGTTGAGTTCTCTTGTATCCTTCTTCATCCATCCATCTTATGTTCCCTTCAGAAGCTGGGCACCAGCCTCCATGCAGCATCAGATGGAACTTGGATGGATTTTCCCACAGTGATCTTATCCATAGGAAGAAGCTCTCCCCTTTGGTCATTCAAGCTGTTGTATCATTCCCCCACAAGAAGCAGCTGTATTCCTAAGGGCTGTTCACATGAGAACTTGCTGTGCTGCCAGATACAGGCAAGGAAATGCAGGTGGCACAATGGCCAGTACCACGTGGGAGCTGCCTGCCTCTGCTGCAATGAGCTCCTGAGTTTATCCTGTGGGCAAAGGATTTCTGCATCACACACAGCCCTGAAAGGCAGCGCAGCACAGCCCAGCCCAGCCAAGAGCCTCCTCAGGTGAACTGCTGTGTGGATCACTAACTCCTAAATGCTCAACAGTCTCCCAGTCTGGGTCAATACACGGCCGACAACCAGTACCTGCCTACGAGGTAGAGTTATGCTTTCTCTACACAGGAATGCACTTTGTGTAAATAGTATTGTTCATAATACTCATATCAAGTCCCATTTTCACTTTGCCA